TCCCCTGATTCTCAGGGTTTCCTGATGACATATTGTACCAGTAAGGTCTGAGGTGAAGAAGTTATTGAGTACCTCAATAACCAGAGTTCTCTGGAGGTGGGCCACATTTCCTCTCACCTTTCTTTTCCTCATGATGCAGCCTTAGAAGCCCTTCTTGTTTCCTTTCCCATCTCTCACCCTCACCACATTCCACTCTGTCCAGTGTGGTGGGGGGGAAAACAGTTTTCCCCTTGAAGCTATAAAATGGTAAACCCCAGGGGGTGGTGACCCTTGAGGTTTGAACCAATGAGCGCTTCTGCAAAATATAAACATATCACACTTAGACCGGAAAAGAAAGTAGTTGTAGTTGTTGTTGGAGAGAAGTAGCCATGTTGTAGAGCCACGAGGAGGAAGGGGCAGGAGCCCCACGGGGGCTATGGCCCCCCCCAGCCCCGGCTGGGGGGCTACAAGAACTTGGAACAGTGTTAAACTGGGCCGAGTTCTGTACCTGAGAGCTGGTAGTTTTTTCCCTCCACCGTGAACAGCAGAAGCAGCGGCAGCAGAGCAGCAGTGAATGGAGAAGCAGTGGCAGAGAGCCAGAAGAGATAAGAACAAGCAGCACAGACGACATGCACCCAGAGAAGACACAGAGATCTCTAACAGAGAGAGACAGAGCAGGACTAAGCTCTACAGAGAGAGAGAGAGTTTGGGTAAGAACTGAATCAAAACCCCAAACTCCTTTGAGATCCCTCCTAAAATGGAGGGGGTGGACTCCTACTGAATGGAAGTCCTAAAGTGCAGCAGCACTGCTGAAAGAGGAGCTAAGAAGCTCAGGCGTCCTGGAAAGCTGGACCAGGACGGTCGATGGAATGGGGGGGGTGACCTTGGGACCCCCCTCGCTGCAGCTACAAAGAAGCTAGCAGCCTGAGATCAGAGCCAGAAGCTCTGCAAGGGGCTTGAATCCCCTGAAGATACAGACTGTCACGAAGGCTTCTGTACTTCGTTGATATGACCGTGGTGAAGCGACCTTTGTCCAGGTGAACGCAGCCCATGGAAGAGAAGACCCTCACTTGGAGATGAAGGGCCGAGGGGCTTGGATACCCCCCTCATGTGTACTGGCAGAGATCCAGCTACAGCTGCTGCAAGGAAGAAGAGAGCCTGCTGCCCTAGAGACACTGCTGCTCTGAGAGTGGAAAGGATCTCTTCCTTCTTCCCTCCTGGACTTTTATTTGGAAGGGAGAAGTGATTTGATCCATTGTAAATACTGCTTTATCATAGTAGAGATAGTTAAGATTGTATATAATGTATTGTAGTATTTATTTTGTACAGTCATTGTAATATATTCCCTTCCCCCCATTTTGAGTCTTGTGTGGTGTCTGGAAAACCCATCTCACACTGGGTTGAGATGTGGGAGGGGGGCTAGGACTCAAGAATTGGATTTTGGGGCTCTCAAACCATGACATCCAGGTTGCCATTGGCCACCTTTGCAGTCAGGACTTGCTGCTGGCCCATATCATGCTCGCTGCCCAACGGGATCCCCAGAGCCTTTGCTACAGAGTGTCTCCACCCTAGTCAATCCCTAGCCTGTGTTGTTGCAGGTATTTTTCCTTCCTACAGGCAGGACTCAGCATTTCTCCTTGTTGAATCTCATGGCTCATTGATCCGGCCTGACTCAGTCCCTCTGGATGGCAGCCCCTTCTTTGAGGCTCCCTCCAGTTTGGCAACATCTGCAAGCACAGTGAGAGTGCATTCAGTCACCTCCTTCAGCGTCTGACAAAGATGTAAAGCAGATAGGTCCCAGTGGAAACTGCTGTGGTGCTCCCCTTGAACCACTCTGTACTGCTCTGCTCTTGGAAAATCTAGTCAGTTTGTTACCAAAGGCAATCAAGTTGGTCAGGCAGAGTTTATCCTCAGTAAATCTATGCCAGCTGTTTCCAGCCAGCTGCTTCTTGTGCTCAGAAATGCTCTACAACAAGCCTCACTCAGGGAGGAAGTTTTCAAGGGACGCTGAGTGACCTGCAATTACTCACGTTGTCCTTTCAACCTCCTTTGAAATTGGGTGCATCCTTTGCCTTTTTTTTTGACTAATTTACACTTTTGACTGTAGGGACAGGTGACAAGGGATGCATATCTGCAGGTGCTGTCTGCAGCAGACTGAGTTTTGTGCATCATCTGTTTTATCTGGAGTTAACATATGGTCTTCTAGGGCACAATTCTTATCAGCTTATTAAAGGCGTTTGACATACTAAGATGCTGGCTAGAAGTGCCACTTGTCTCCACTAACAGTGAAATTCAGGGGAACAAGCTCCACTGTGGAGATGTGAATCTCAGCACTTCAGACAATGTTTGCTCCCTTTACAACTAACTGCCTTGACACAGTCTGGCACTGAGGTGGTGAGTGTCAGCAGCATGACCTGACCTCATTAGCCCTAGGCAGGTGTCACAGTGAGACCATTGGCTCCAAGCAAGTCCCATTTCTCCCATCAGCTGTGAGTGGACAATGACTGGGATGGCAGATAGTGCTAATGCACAGGCAAGCATCATCATCAGAGGTGAGATTTCTCAACTCTTACTTTTCAAAGGATTCTATCACTTCAGAGTATCCCTCTTGATATCCAACAATGAGAAAAAAAGAAGACTGTTGAAAATTTAGAGAACAAACTTATAAGGTACCCAAGAGGGTTTTGTCACATAGGGAGCAAACTAAAACCTTTATTTTGATTCTCCTTTTTACCAGAAGAATATGTGATTTCTAATTGGTAGCATCTGCAGCAAATCCCAAAGACTATAAGCCTACACCAAGGATTAGCATTTGTTGCTTTTTCCCCACATGCTACTGAAAAATATGGCCCTTTATCAAAGGCCCTGTACCTAAGACATTCAGCTAGAGGTTGTTTTCTGGTACTGATGCCATTAGGAAATAATGTAAACCTTGTTTTTCTCCTAAAACTCTGAAGAAATCATTTAGTACTTTGGAATAACAGTAAATAGCCATAGATGGTGTGGAGGTCACAGACCTCTGTGTATTATTGTGGGTATTTTTTGAATTACCTATATTTCAGCTGTCTATAAATCCCCTTATGGGTTCTTCTCACAGCTAATATTTTCAAGGAAATCCATTTGGTTAAAGTAAGAATTAAGCCTTCCAGAAACTATATACAAATAAACAATTCCTTCTAGCAACAGTTTGCAGATGAAAGTTGCAGATGTAGGGACTGTGCAGGGAGTTTCTCCTTTTTGGAATGTCTCAGGTGTGTACTTAGACCACACTGGTGACAGTTACCCAGCTGTATAGTTAGCCTTCCATCCATATGTCCTTTGTGAAAGACAATATTTAATTGTCTGCTTGAGTCCTGAGGAGATCTGTTTTTGCAGAACTACCTTTTCAGTCCACTTCCTTAGATAGTATGTGATGTGCTGTCTTATCACCTTACCTTATTTTTTGAAGATTAGGATCTGAGCAAATAGTGACTTTCTGTATTAAAGGTTTTTAAATCTATTGTTTTATTATATCTTCCATTTACTCCAAGGCTGCTGTGAGCATTAATTAAACAGTATTTGAAATGTCACTACAAAATATGGTTATGGAAGCAGCTGATTTTCCTGCAAAATTAGCAGAAGGGATAAAACCCTGAACTTGAAGAAATCTGCTTTAGCAACTCTAATTTACATATTTTGAAATCTAGCTTATGAAATCATAATGAACTATAGTTAATGTACTGTGTGTATCCTAACGTTTTTCTTAAATCTTCCACAGTGCTTAATTTTCAGATTTCAGAACAGAAGAACTTTGGCATATTTTGCTGTGGATTTTCGAGACAGCCAGGAAATAGATCTTTCTGAACATTGAAAGCAGTCGTCACTTCCCTGTTGGAACAGTTTCTCTCCATGTACAGAATTGTAAATACCACTGACACAAACACAGACGTTTGCAGTCTGCAACATTTGCTCAGAGAATTAGAGTAAAATCAGCTGTTCAAACTCTGGATCTGAAATTCTCTGAGTCAACTGGCACTGACTGAAAACATTTTTAATGTGATCTGACCCTGACTAGAATATACAATGTTTGAATGGAGGGAGAATAAAAAATATACTTCCAACTGAGTTGAACTTTGCAGAAATGTGAATATTTATGCAAATATGCTGAGTCAGTGATTTTCTAACTTACAGTCCCATCTGTGATATAACATTGCAAAGTGTTTGTACCAGCCTCATGAGCAAAACCTCTCAAACACCTGGTACAGACTTGATGGTGGCATTTCAGTTGAATGGTGCCATGCAAAGTATTTAAATTTTGTCTCACAAAGAAAGACTGCTCATTCAATTCCTTCTCCCACCAACATTTTTTCTGAAACTCAGTCTTTTCTTTTAACTGGAATGAAGGCCATTATTGTCTACAGTAGGGGGAAAAAGCATCATGTGCTTGGACTGAATTGTCATTTTCATTCCACCCTAGAAGAGATGTTCACCCTCCGGTCCATCTCCTGTGGCACAGCCCCTAAGGGAGCCCCCATGGCAGCACTGCAAAAATTTTGCACTTTTTTATTTCAGTAACAGCAGAATTCATGTGCCAATTGTGAGGCTCTTAGAGGAATTCTCCTTGCCTTCCTCTCCCAGCTTCCCTGCTGTTAGGGCCCAGCAGGCAGTCAGGTAATGTAGCACACCTTCATTCTTTGCCTTTAGCAATCTGGTGCTGTTCTTAGATGAAGGAAGGACTAAGTAGAAAGAAAATCCCAGTCCCAAGTCTTCTCTCCCTCCCTATGAACACAGATGGCTTTTAAACCTCTGTATGTGCCTTTCATAATGCAAATACATTCACAGGTCCTTTTGAGTGTAATAGATTAAAAATGAAGAGAAGTTTGGAATGGAACTGCCAACCTGAATTTGCTGTTGTCAGTATATTGCATAGCAGCCTGGATGACAGATTCCTTTTATGACCATGTTTCAGTTGAAGTTTTGTTTTACAATAAAAAGCATGGAGGCTTGATTTCTTAGTAAATTTTTTTCTTGCTTGCCAGTTTCTGTAGCAGTGTATCATCACATGCTTTCTTGGAAGGAACATTGCAGCATGGAGTATTTGTTTGCAGTAAATTATCAGAAATGTGGTTCAGTCAGAGCTTAAAAAAAGAAAAAGGAGAATAAATTACAAGTCTCGTGTGATACAATGACTTAACTCACTTTAGCACTTTGGTTTTATATAAGGATGGCAGGGGGATAAATTAAAACTGCGCAGATAGTCCCGCTCTTCCTAAGGCTTGACTTCAAGTGCTTTATTCTCCTGAGATAGTTCCTTCAACCCATCTTTTTTGTGCATAGCATATGTAAGTATTTGTATATAGCCTGCCTCTTCCTGTACAAACAGTAGCTACTGTTTTGAAAATTTCAGGTAATAGGAGGAGGAGAGGCTTTTTAAAAGCCTGACATAAAAGTGATGGAGTGCAGGAGAATGGTAAATAGAAAGAAAAGCAGCAGTATAAGAAAATTGACAGTCAAAGCCTGTAATGCATAACCTTTGGGCCAGCAGCTTGGCATGCACAGCCAGTCTGGCATTAGTATTGCCTCAAGGGAGGCCTCGGTTTGTTTGACCTTGAGAGTCTCACTCTTTGAATAAGCAGAAAATGGGATAATACTGAGGTAATACCTTCTCTCCTGAGGGATGTGCCATTTATTAGCAGTTTTCACATGTTGCTATTTTGTTTATCATGGAAAATAGCCTTAGGAAGAGCTGGTTACCTCAGCTCCCTGAACACATTATGCGTTAAGGGACTATGGGACCATCAAGTTAGGAGAAGCTGATCACAAAAATAAGGAAGAGAGCATTGCATTAAAGGCACAGCTGATACTAAGCTGAGCAGGTCTTCTGCAAACATGCTGTAGTGAGGAGTGAGGGTAGATTGCCTCCTTGACATACCCCAGCTGCAAGAATCCTGGTGTCCTGCCCAGGCAGGTCAGCATCACGGGGCTGGTCACTCCAGCTCTGCCCCAAGGCCAGAGACTCTGAAGGGTTTTCTGGTTAAACAGTTCTCTGTCGGAAAGTGCCACTTCAATGAGATGAAGTGTGTAGTCAGTTTTGACATAATTCAGCTTTGAAACAAGTTTTGGGTTTACTTTGAAAAAAACCCACTGTTTGTTTTGAAGGTGGCAAATAAAACATTTCATCTGTGATGCTTTGTTTTACCACTGGCTTCCAATTTTTTGTCTCAGTGTTGTATATATAACTAAATGAGACATGAAACAAAATCAGTGATAACTTAAAAAAATTATTTAACAGGAATTTTCACAACTTTGTCTTTAATTTTAAGGAGGAAACATTGTAATCATCTAGAACCTGATTCATGAATGGTGTGCTTCAGATTTTCTTTTTTACATTTCAGCTTTAACTCTGGTGTTTGAAATAGGAACCCTCTCTTAGTACAACACCTTCACACATCTGTATAGTCAGCACTCAGTACTCTGGGAAGCAGTGCATGGATATGCAGAAGAATATTTTTCATTGAAAATGCCAGCTGCTTGTGGGAGCAATGCAAGGCCATTCTGCTCAGCTAATATAAACTGCACTCTTAAAATATTAACTACAAATTCTTCAGAATACTGTGAACTCCAGGGGAACATATATGAAAATTAAAGGAGCAGCATATGGAATATTGTAAGTAGACATAAGGTGGGCAGGTACTCTGAAACTACAGCAGCCCAGTCACCCAATAAATTTATGCAGAAATGAAAATTTTGCTAATGCAGTGCAGCTGACTGGGTTATACCACCATTAAGTGATGTTCTGAGTACATCGGTACAGTAATTTGCCATTAAGAAGCAAGCAATCTGTTTTCCTTACAGGAAAAAATTGAGTATGACAACACCAGTAAGGCACATTTAGAAAAGGCTTTTTCAAAGGAATCTGACAGCCATCCATTTTCCAATTAAAAGCTGATCTGAGTGTCTGGTTTTCTTCGGTTTGTATCAAAATCCCAGAAAAAAAATGTACTTGTTTTCATCATATAGCCAAGTACTAGTATGTTTGGAGCATTTAAATTAACTCAATGGATTACGAAGATTATACAAAATGGCAATCTGAAGCAATTATCCTTCCAGAACATGTTGTTAAATTTGCAATCCTCCTCTGATGATAAAGCGTGTCCAAGTTCCTACCCTACTCCAGGGTACACAGAGCCTGTCACCAGGTTCAACGTTGCCTCAAATGGAAATCCTCCTGGCAGGGTGCTTTGCATCATGTGAGTTTTGCCATATGGGTCACTACAGAAGAGATAAGCCAGGAAAAGTGATGTTTTAAACTGAGCCTGAAATAAAGCTTGACATGGACATAGGAAAATTCTTGTATGCTTCCAAACTGGAAAGCCACTGGTGAAAGAATTACTGAGCAGAAGTATTGCCCTGGGACAGAAGTATCTGAACCACAGTGGTATAGCATTTACAAGTTTATATGACAATACACAATACAGCTTCCTAGACTCTTGATTATGATATAGGCAAATGATCAGGTTGTAAAATACAATTTATTCGCATTTTATTCAAATAAGAATAGGTGAATTGATGAGTTCATCTCTTCAAGTGTCCAAACCATGCTGAGTTATCTTTGGCCCTTCAATCATATGAAAAATAGATTTCCATATTTGAAAATTGCTCCACTCCTACTCCAGACCTGCACTTTCAAGGGAAAACAAGGCAATAAAAAGAGCTCAAAAATGCATTTTTAAAAGGATAAATCTTTTCTTCATTTAAGTAGTGCGTGGAGGGCAAATATGAAGGCAATATCTGTCATCCATTCCAGCACTGATCCATTGATCTTTACACAATTCAAATTGTAGCCATCCAGGTTAATCAGTGAAAGTCTTTTGATGTGGAAAAGTGCAAGGCAATTTTCAAGGCAGACTTGAGGTGGATGAACCGTTCTCCAGGCCTATGTTACAGTATAGAATAAAACAAAGAATTATATTTTAACATAGGATAAACTGTCAGAGAAAAGTAGTGATTTCAGCGTAAGAGCTTGTTATCTCATTACTACTCAGTAAAAGAATAAGCATGAGAGTCAGTATGTACACAGCAAAGTTTGTAAGTACTTTGTCATTGAAGTAATTCTTTAGATTTACCTACCAGTGAGCATTGTGGTGCACACAAAACTCTGGTCCCCTGGTTGCCTAGACTTGGAACCTGTGAAGCATGATGCCTCTACTAGTGCTCAGCTCCCAAAGATTTCTTTTCTCTGGAAAAAAGGACTTGTGAGGGGGCAGTAGGAGATTATGAATCACACAGTAGGGTCGCCCCATGGTGTAATCATGTGCACTCATATTCAGGAATTCAGAAGGCCATTTTCTCTCCTCTATCTAGATTTTGCTATTAATGTATGAAGGACTAAATTAGCCAAATATCACTTGAAAATCTGGCTTAGAAGGTGCCAGGATCTGTGTTTAAACCTACCTCTATCAGAAAAAAAATAATTGGAAGTATCACTAGTGAATTAAATTCACAGTTTTCAACTAATTCTGACAGTTTTTGACAAAGTGCAGAAGAGATTTAACTTCTTATAAATCTCAAGGAGTTTCCTTTAATTTTATACACTTGCCTTCATCTTGAGCAAGCTAACTTAGTTGAAATCTTCAGTGGAGGACACCAAATGATGGAAAAGCTACCATTTTCCCAGGTGCCTTCTTAATCCCCACTGTTGTTCATATCTTATCTTTTCATGGTGTGTATGATTTTATTGCCCACATCAAGCTTCACTGTTCCTCATCTGCATGTTTTCTCCACTAGACATTTGATACCTACTATGAGATTATGGATTAAAATCATCCAGTAATGATGGGCTTTGTTCTGATCCCTGTGAGCATCTAATAGGCATGCTTATACACCACAAGCAGTTTAGGTGACCTTGTTGTTTATCATATTCTTTCAGTCAAACATAATATTTTTTTTCTGCTTTCAAATTTCATTCTGATGTTGGTTTGGAAAAGGAATGTACATTCTTTTTGCTCTAGCAGTTCAAGGTGTTTTCAAACCTTTGTATAAAGACATACTGTTTGACATAGATGTTTATTATTCATTTCTACTCTTAAAATATTTAAACTGCAGTTCTGAAATGACACTACTCAGAAATATTACATCTAGGATAATGGCTATTTCCCAGCACTGAACCAAAAAAGTTTGTAATTGGTGTTTGCATTAGAGTTACCTCTTACTAAGTGCATGTAAAACTAGTAATAACAAAAAAAAAGATTGGGCTTGTTTATAATTTTTTAATCAAGAGGTCTATTAACCTGTTCTATCCAAGACTTCCCAAATAAGGCTTAAACACATTCACAAAATGTGAGTAGACATTTATACCAGCTCCAATTCAGACAAGTACCACAACAATATCTTAAAATATCTAACATTACTAACAGTAGGTTTTGAGAATGCTAAAAAAATTTTATCTCCTGTGTTCTTCAAGAGCTGGATTTCAATGCTTGGTTCCTGTTTGTTAAAACTGCTCAGATTTGCCATTCCTCTGAGGAGCATACTCCCACACACTAGCAGCCTTGGGTGTCATGGTCATTTGGGTGCCGGCCAATCTTTGGACGGTGTGACTTGGGTATGTCTTAAATATATTGACAGGTCCCAAAATAACAAGCCTAAATTTCAACAGAAGAGATTTTGGATTGAAAAGGATTTCAGGTGCAGTCAAGAGGTAAAAATGCTGGGAAATAAGCTACTAGCCATATTGTCACAGCTGCACAATAATGCAATATTGATTTTAAACTTGAGTAGTTTTGACATATAGGACAGTCATGAGGAAAACATGTCTCTGCCTAGTAGACCTAATTCAGATGAAACTGGATTCAATGCAAATCTTTGCATCAAACTGATAAAGAGTTTTGGAAGTCAAATATGCTACCCACAGCACATGCAGTAATGCTCATTTTTCAGTTGTAGAACAGAAAATACAAGAATAATAGAAATACTAATTTCTGAATGCTTTATGTACTTGAAATAAAAAATCCTCTGCAGACTTTGAACAATTGTCTCAAGCATCTCTTTGTCAGAGAGCAGGAGAAGTGGGCTGCTTCATGGGAGAAGGTGGTTTGGGAGCTGAGGGTGACAGCCACATTAGCAGGGCAGTCACCTC